TCGCTTGATCTGCCTGTCTTTGCGTCCTCAGTACCAAATGGTATTTTCTTTCACAAATGCCCAATTCCCTGTGGCACGCATTGTTCCTGGTTGGAGTTTGGGTCTCATTGTTAGAAGACACACCCTGTTTGATCCACCTAACAAAGCCAGGAGAAAAAATCAGATTTACATGATTTCTCCTCAATTAAAATGGAAAAAAATACCCCTGCATGCCCCCTCCTTGAAAAAGAGAAAAAAAATCAGATTTGCATGTCCTCTCCCCAATGACTCACTATATATGATCTAAATTGACTCCAGAGGTAAAAAAATATCACTATCAAAGGAATCATGTATCACACAAATACTTATGCCATCTTCTAAAGCCTTTCATCATCTAATAAGCTTTAAGTTAGTCACCACAATTAACTAACCAATGTATATTTGTCCCACTCCTTCTGAAACAATTTCCCCATTTTCATCTTGCACCTCAATGATTGTGTCCAACAGAGGAGCACCTAGTGGTACTTTTATGACAAGATGCCAAGCAGGAAACCTCTGTGATGCCATAAAGATTGCACATTGAGGTTTTACTCTGAAGAGACCTCCATTTCCTGAGGGTGGAGAGACTGGGGCAAGTTTCCCCACCAAATGCCAGCACTCTGAGAGATTAATCTTTACTGAGAATCTTTGACTGAATTAGTTCTTGACCAACGTGATACATCAAGGATGGAGTGGGCTGTTTAAGATAGAAATAAAACTTAGTTGCTTTGCATACATACATATACATACGTTAGTTGACCACTCCCCATGGGGGCTTTTCAGGGCCAATTCCCACCCATCCCACCCCAGGGGAGGACATCCATCACACAGTAATCTTGTGCGTGGGAAATGAACGTCCCCTACCCTTAACCCTGCAGGAGACTGGGCCTACGGTTTATTCGTCCTTATCCAAGAAGACGAGAATATCTATCCATTTTTTATTATAGAAAGGTAGTGAATTCTCCTCATTTATTTAAGACCATGAGTATCAGTCTGGTAAAAGAACTTATGCAGTACCACTTTGTTTCATAGGTGATCTGTGCAATCATTCACTCCAGGTGGTTTTCTGACAACTTTGCAAAAACAAATTTTAGTTTGCATGTGAATTTTCCCATAGTTAATCTTTGCTGAGGAAATTGCTTGTCAGTATTGAGTTCAAGGAAAGGGGTGAAGTCAATTCCATCCTTTTCTAATATTATATTATTGGTAGCACCAACTGGTGTATGGTAATTTCAGGGTCTTGTAATTCTCAAAAAACTCTTACCTGTAAAATGGTCACCCTTTCTTTATCAAAAAGAATATTGCAAAGCTTATAGATGGCACCATTTTAACACTGTCCGGCACAATTACAAGTCTGGCTCCTGCTGCAAATGCTTTGAACATCTCAACAAAATGAAAGGTTCAAAGGTGTAGGGAGAGGTAAGGAATATTATATCATGAGATGTCACTTGGAAAATGTTCCTGTTGGATATGAAGATTATGTATTACATTTTGTACTGGATTAAACATTTATAAATGTTGTGATGTATGGCTTTTACAAGATGATTCAGGTGCTAATTTTATCTTAAAGGTGACATTTACAAAATTTGAAGCTTTCAAGAACAAGGTGTCCAGCTCTATACAAAGGTGTCAAGCTGCTCAAACTGAAACAACAGAGTATTTAATCATGCAGCCAGCAAAGACCTCAAACCCCCCACATTCGTAATGACTCTGAACGCTGAAAATTCAAACACATTTTTGGAATCGTACGCTTCTTTGGCAAGACAAATCCAGTGCCTTGAATACACTGTTATGGGCACTCTTAACTCAACAAAGATGCAGCTTGAAGAAAAAGTAAACAACCTAAAGGATTTGATTGCAACCAAAATTCCTCGTTATGGATCTTGGCTCTTGGTGGTCGACAATGTCAACAGTTCATTTGACGTACATGATTTTCTCCCTCGGCCTGGAAACAACCAGTGGACAAAAGGCCAGTTACTTATCACAACTCAGAACACTTCATCTATCCCCTCTGAAAGTTTCTTTGTCTCTCATATTTCAGTGAGCGAAGGCATGACGCCCAAAGATGCTAGTTCTTTTTTAGAGAAGGTTTCGGGGATTAGTCAACATGGAGTAGAAGATAAGGTCGCGGAGGCATTAGATTACCAACCTCTCGCACTGGCTAGTGCAGGCGTGTACGTAAGAAAGGTTCGTGAAAGTCAAATACACAGAAACTTTGGATGGAAGGAGTATTTAGAAAAACTAGAAAGAGGTATGCGAACCCATACTGAAACGAAACTCATTGAAACCAACCCTTGCTACGGGAAATCCATGACCGTTGCAACAAGAATCGCCATTGAAAGAGCAGTAAAAAATGACAGTGTTTTAAAAAAGACATTTACACTACTCTCTCTATGTTCTCCACAACCTCTGCATCTAGACATCGTTATGAATTACATTTTGATTGACAAGGAACTGAATTCAGATAGAGAAGAAATTGCTCTTCAGATCGAAGGCTACTCACTTCTTATGTTCGAAGAAAGAGAAGATGGAGTTTTTGTTAGTATGCATGGAGTTGTGCATGAGGTAAGCAAATCTGTAATCAACGAGTGTCAGGATCATTATGAACACCTTTACAAACTTGTGCTGACTGTGACGTCATTCAATCAATTCATAGACACTCATCTTCCAAACACTTGGCACGACCAAAACTCTATTCGTGACAGTGAGCATCTCATTCCACACTTGACTACGTTTGCTGGAGAAGTTAAAAACGTCTTTCTTCAGCAAAATAAAGATCAAGTTATCAAGGAAGATGTTTTGAACTACCGGTATTCAGAACTATTAGAATTTTTCAGAAGGCTTGCAATCATTTGCCGAAATCACCGCGAATTCTCAAGCGCAAAAGCTTTCTGTGAAACAGCGTTGAAACTAGTTGAAAGAGTTAGGGAGGAAGGTGATTGCGAGAGTACTAGTACTTCAGGCATTGAGCTAAAAGAACTTGGACCCACACCTGTTGCCCTTGTGGCTATTTACAATTTACTGGGCACAGTGCAGCGTGAGTTGGGTGAGTTCCAAAATTCTGAAGAGAATCATAAACGTGCTCTAGACATTGAGCAAAAAAATCTTGGACCCGAGCATGTTGACGTAGCGAGAACATTGCATCATCTGGGTAATGTACAGCACGATTTGGGTAACCTAGAAAAGGCCATGGAGTATTACAAATGTGCTTTAGAAATTCAGCAGAAGAATCTTGGTCATGACCACATTTATTTTGCGTTTTCATTCTTTACCATGGGTGTCGTGGAAAGTGAACTGGGAAACCTGCAAAGCGCTAAGAATTATTTTGAGCGTGCTCTGAACATTAGGTTGAAAACGTATGAAGACAAAGATGTTTATGTCGCGCGTATTTACGATAACTTGGGTGATGTAGAGCGTGAATTGGATGATTTGCCACTGGCCAAGAATTATTGGGAACTTGCTCTAAAAATTAGATTGGAAAAGCTTGGACCCAAGCATGTTGATGTCGCGCATACTTACCATAACTTAGGTGATGTACAGCGTGAATTGGATGACCTGCAAAAGTCCAATGAGTCTTACGAGTGTGCTCTAAACATTTGGTTGAAAAAGCTTGGACCCGATCATGTCAACGTCTCGCGTACTTTCTTTGGCTTGGCAAATGTACAGCGTGACTTGGGTAACCTGCGACAGGCAAAGGAGTATTGTGAACGTGCTTTAAAGATTGAGTTGAGAAAGCTTGGACCCGAACATGATGATGTCGCGCTCACTTACTCTAACTTGGGTGGTATCCACCGTGAATTGTGTGAACTGGAGCAGGCCAAGGAGTGCTTTGAAATTGCTTTAAACATTAAGCTGAAAAAGCTTGGACCAGAGCATGTCGATGTCGCACCTACTTACCATAAATTGGGTGAAGTTCACCGTCGATTGGGTGATTTGCAACAGGCCAAGGAATGTCACGAAAAAGCTTTAGCTGTAAACCGGAAAAATCTTGAGCCCGAGCATGTCGATATGGCGAATNGCTGGACAAAGAAAATTCCTTTCTTATTAAACACGAGATTATTCAAGAACAGGAAACTTTAAGTAATTAAAATCAGTGTCTTCTCTCATTATTCTCCCCTCATTTTGTTTTAGCAATCTTAATATGCAGAAACTATTATAATAATATTACATGTAACTAAATCTTAATTGTTATTAATGTTATTTAATTGATCTAGTTTTATGCATAAGCAATCAATGGCCCGCCTAGATTAGCATTTACTATTTGCAAAATAACGTTTTAAAAGCAAAGAAAATAAGCGGCTTGTTGTTGTTGCTGTTGTTGTTGTTGTTGTTCTTGATTTTAATGTCCTGCGTGCTCAGAAGTTGGAAAAAACGCAACACCTCAGAAGGGGCCTAATCCATTAGAAGTTGTGAACAGTTTGCTGGTACAATTTGCTTGAGAGGGGCAGTGCTGGAGCATAGTGTCTTTCTTAAGACACCAACACAATGACCGTAGCTACTAAGCTACCCCCTATCACAAGTGTGTCTTATCTTATAAAAGATTAGTAAGTTGTACAATGTACAAGAAAATACTTAATCAATGATAGAATGAAAATAATTATACTTAGAACAAAAATGACAGCCACAACCTGAAATGCTCAACAAAAGAGACAAGTTGAATTGAGTACTAAAATTCACAAAGTTTACCTGTTGTGTTTCCCCATGAGAAATTCCCCTTCATAACTTCAGAGACAGTAGCTTGCAAAGCTTCATTGCCTTCTTTCTCTTGATTGTACTTATCTATTATGAATGACAGCTTATTCTTGTTTGAAGAAATCTTTTTGCGGAGGTGTGCACGCTGTTTGGACAAGTCTAAATAAGATAAAGCGAAAACTGGAATAACAGGAAGAAAATTAGCAGCTTCAAAATACTTCAAACAAAGATTTCAAGAAAAAGACAGTGAATTTAAGATGAGTGAAGATGATTTTCTTCGGTTCTTCAATAGTCCTTCCAAAAAAAAGGAACAAAAAAGGTAAACAAATCAAGATGTAGCAGAACTACCTGCTAGTCCGCTTATTGAATGAGTGGTCTGTTGAATGGCAGAAACCAACATTTCAACCTCATCTTGAATCCGCAGTATACCACTGCCCTTGCCTTGCCAGGCTTCCACCCCTAAAGGAGAAATACAAAGTAATTCTATCAGGTAATGCCATATCAATAGGACAGCAGAAGGAAATTCAGAGATAAACAACCAAAATTATACAAAGTTACCATGTGCGTGATTAACAACAATACTCTTCCACTCATCTGGCTTAAAGTCATCCAGTGACACATTATTCCTGTCTAGACCGTCATCAAAATCTTTTTTGCGATTCTACTTTCATTTCAACGGCCTACATGAATCAAGAAAATTTAAAAAAAAAAAAAAAAGGTACAAACAAAGGTTTGGCCAGAGTGAGGCTATATAATCTCGGTAGCATAGCACTGGAGTAAATGGTAATTAAAAATAAAAATAATAATTTAAAAACAATCAAAACACAAATCATAGATGTAATAAACGTGATCAATATGTATTTAAAGCACCGAGTAAACTCTTTCTCTTTGTAACATAAAATTAAGATCGTTAAACCTGTTATAATCAATACAAGATCCACTAAAAATTGTACTTCCATGTACACATACATGCAAGTACAAATGGTGACACAATTTTGTCTGTTTAATAGCTATTTAGCAATAGTAATATTGCATAAATACTGACCCGTATGTATCCTCTTGACAGACTCTGTGCCATGCCATTGATTTTACTTTGATTCCAAGCAATAGCATGCTCAGTAATGAGCTCCTCACGATCTAAAAGATATGAATAACTTACCTTTCAGTTGAATGTGTATAACTTCAATTAACTAAAATGAATTAACTGACTAATTGAGGTCTAGTTACAACTGTGAATTTGATTAATTCTAATTTTGTCAGTTCTCATTGTTTTCTAATTGCCTTAAGTTGAATGCTGATGGGCCTCTATTGTTCATACTGTACCCCTGGATAGGAAAAACTCTATAAAATGTTTTACACCAAACTAAACAACCATACAGCTTCCCCTGGTACCTGTTCACTGGCCATTGCGGCAAACCATGCTGGCAGCCTGCAATCTCGGGTCCTGTCTCATCTAGTTTGGCTGTCTTTCTGCTCTTAGTAGAAGCAGCCCGCCATTGTGATTCCCCACACATATTGTCTTGTTCCTAGTTGCAGCATTTAATAACTATTAATACTGTAACAGAAAAGTCAAAATTTCATGAAATCCTACCAATATAGAAACTTGTCACAGCTTGCTAAGAGGCTATAAACTTAGTATAAAATGATCGGAATAAAACTGCATATAATTATACCCACCTTAGATTTGGACTGCTTTGCATATACTTTGTTCATGTGACTATCAACATCCCCCTTGTTGGCAATAAAAAGATCTTCATAATATGATTGCCTCCTTTGTCTGTTGAAGAAAACAATTATAACTGCCAAAAATGTATCATTTTTTTCATAATATAACTGCATATTATTAAAGACAATGGATGATAACAGTTACTATAGTGCAGAACCTAATGATTAAACCTCGACTTTATATATCTTTTATATAAATAAACTCAATAAAACACACCAAATTAAAATATAAGTAATGCAATAACCAACAGCCACTTGTATTCAGGCCTCTAAAAAAAGTAAAATTTACAAAATTTGCCCCCTTCATTCTATTGTACAAGTTTTATGAGCATTGATAAAATATTGGGTGTTTTTGACATTGTTCTGTGAACCTTTTCATCGCATGAATGGCACATAAACTGTTTTCGACACTCCATGTTACGGGTTTTGCCGCCTTTTTTTGGTCAGTGGGTCCTGGGACCCACTCAGTCAGCTTGGTTTCCCAGGCCCATTCGGTTCAGAGCTCGTGTGTTGTGTTTTTTAGTTTCGGTAGGTTTCACTTTAATTTAGGTTCTGTCCTGGTGTACCGGTTCACAAGGGAATTACCATTGTTCTTTCTTTGTTTAGGAGCCATTGGTTAGCTGTTGTGTATTGTTCGGTCTTTTGTATCGGCTCTTGTGAACTGGTACACAAGGACAGAACCTTAATTTATCACCTCAGTTTATCAGTTTATCATTCATCGCAGCACCATCCATTTTCACCATTCGACACTGAAGGAAAATAAACCATCGATTTGTATACTCTTCGTGTTTCGGTTGAACACTACGCTAAGAACGCAATACTCCATACATCGTATACAGACTTTGTCTTCCAAACAAATGCTGCAAATGTCTGGAGAGGGGAAGCTTGCAATTTGACCGAGAACTGCTTGAGTATTTTCTAAGCATCTCTCTAGCTATCTCTATGTCGCCTCTTCCTCGACGGTATAAAGGCATATCTTAGCTTTTCTAGATAGTCTTCAAATTCAAAGCTTTAAAATTAGTGCCAAAACGGGATCCGCAAAACCCTTATATCCAACACCGCTTTGTGTAGCATCAATTTGCATTTTAATTAGAAGCGCGTTTTAATTAGCACAAAAAATTCAACTAAATATAATTTGCATACTAATTAGAATGCTTTTTGCAATTGCCATGTATTTTTTGCAATTGTCATGTATTTTTTGCAATTGCCATGTATTTTTTGCAATTGTCATGTACTTTTTGCAATTGCCATGTATTTTTTTCAATTGCCATGTATTTTTCAATTGCCATGTATTTTTTTCAATTGCCATGTATTTTTTCAATTGCCATGTATTTTTTGCAATTGCCATGTATTTTTTGGTT